TTCCTTCCTTCCTTCCTTCCTTCCTTCCTTCCTTCCTTCCTTCCTTCCTTCCTTCCCTTAGTCAGACTAAAGTGTTCTCTCTCTCTCTCTCTCTCTCCCTCTCCCCCCACCCTGTGTATTTGTGTATCTGTGTTTGACAGCATGTCACAGCACACATATAGAAGAGGTCAAAAGTCATCATGTGGAAGTCAGTTTCTTCCGTCCACCACACGGGAAGGCCCGCTGGCCCCTGACAGGGTCTCATAAGGGCTTTCCCACTAGAGCACCTCAGCTTCTCCATCTCAAAAGGCAACAGTGGCTACCTCACAGCACCACTGTCATTGGTTGGTTGTCCTTATCTTGCTGCTGTTAATTTGAGATGGGATCTTATACAGCCCAAGCTAGCTTCAAATTATGCACTGGAAAACTACCTTGAATGAGTAACTCCAATCCTCCTGCCTCTATCACCCAAAGGGTAGGATTACAGGAATCCTACCCTTTCATCATGCCCACTAAAAATGTTAGTTCTTTGGATTAAGAGACGTCTGTCAATTATATGATTTCAGATAAATGTTCCTAACTGTAGTCTGTGGGTTTGATTGTAGATACATGTTCCTAACTGTAGTCTGTGGTTTGATTGTAGATACATGTTCCTAACTGTAGTCTGTGGTTTGCCCCTTAACTAAATTTGGGACAAGAGGTGGGAATACACACTTTCTCACTTCTTGATTCAATAAAATAAATGTAGTGAAAGAAACTGCAAAATGCCAACTACCACAATTCCTCAGGAATTGTGTCCCCATCTTACAAAAAGAATCATTCTCCTTACCTCTGGCAGAAGGACAAATGGCTACCTGTAGATGCATACTAAGGCCCATACTGGCCACCAGGCTCCTTCAGTATTTTAAGTACCTGTTACACATTTCAAAGTCCACACTCGCATCCTAGCCTGTCTAACCTCCACAGGCTTCCTCCTCCCGGATACCGTTTGTTCCTTATAAAGGTCGTCCCCTCTCCCCTCTCCCCTCTCACCACAGATAGCCCTGGTCATGTTCAGTTGGCTGGCTGTGGTTAGTCTACTGCTTTCTCTCTCTGCTCTGGACTCCTCCAGATGCCTCTGGACAGTTTTTTTTTTTCTCTTATGTATTTAGAAACTTTTTTCTTAACCATATCATGGATGTGTCATGTCAGGTGTCATGACTCCAGGTCATGCACCAATACCAACAGCCTTTGCTTCTCAAGAAAAGTATGTATTAGCAGATTTGAAGTGAAGAAAAGGCAAACCGACAGTCATGTTTATTCAACTCAGTTCACTCTGAGACGTGAAAAAAAAAGACCGTGTATGCTAGCTCCCTAACATGGGTAACTCATCCTCTGTCAAGGGGCCACAATCAGAATGGCCTTCCATGTTCCCGTCAATGGAGGCCGATGTAAGAGATGTCATCTTCAACAGTAACTCCCTACTTAGCCTACTGAGGCTCTTTGGAAGTGGGCCCTGGGAATCTGAATTATTAAGATGCTTTCTCAATGGCAACAGTGATGACAGATGACAAGTATGAGTCGTCTCCCTTTGTAATTCTCCTCTCTATACAGAGACATCCAAAACACAGCTAACTGGAAGCCTAATCTTAGAAAGGCAGCAGAGACAGAAAAGCATTGATCACAGGCTGGTAAATCAGAGTTTGAACAGGAAAACTAAGGTAGTTAAAATGTGCTTTATGATATTTATTTCTTCCCCTCTTGTGTGAGATTTTTTGGATACAAGGACTCGTGCCAGAGATGAGACTGCTGGGAGATTCGTGGAGAGTAACCTGACTCCGGGGCAGCAAGCTTCCAGCACCTCAAACTGTGACTGACAAGCAAGGGCGAAGCCAGGACTAAACAGAGGGGCTTCTCCTGAGCTCCCTTGCCCCAAAGCTTCAGAACACCCAAGGCAGCATGAACTGCACCCCACACAAGGCTCAGGGAGTTGCATGGAGTGAGTGGCTTTCTCATTCATGCTTCTATACAGAGCTACTCCATCGCAGAGTCACCAACTCAAACTCATGAAAGGCATGTTAGCCCTTCCCTCCTGAAAACTGCTCCTCTGCATCCAAAGGAGGATGAGAAGGTAAAAACACAGCCCCTATCCTATATGGGCCACAATCTGGCAAACTCTAGACAGCCTAGAAGGACTCAGACTAGTCACATCGCTTGACCTTTGCTACTGAAAGTCAAACGGCAGAGATCAGATATTCAGAGGTGCACCTTAAAAACCCATGTCACCAAGTCCCTTTTGACAGGAAAGTCACGTATGTCAGGGGCAATGAAATGCAAAAGAACATGGTCGCTCTGACATTCCTCCAGGGTGGCATCAGCCGGGCCTCTGTGGAGCAGAAGGCTCGTATGTGGAAAGCTGGTCTACATTCTTTAGGCCAAGCTCCTTACCTGGAAGCGCAGAATGATGGTCCAGATGAGGCCGAGGGTTAGCCGGTGGTTTCCATCCACAATGTCATGGGAGCCCATGTTCTCAAGATGGACTCTCTGCTCCTTCAGGAACTGAAGAGCCTTGTCGACATTCTCCAGACAGTGGATCCGCATCCGTCCCTTAGTGGGTTTAGGCTAGAAACCAGAGAACAGAGGTAGAGACACTTTATCCAGAAGGGCAGAGGAACTACCTTGAATCCTATGTGCCTGTCATGGTTTGTGCCCAAACCCAAACTAACATTTGTGTGCATTCATTTGTTCATGGAGTCTCAGTGCTACTGCTGCTACCTGCAAAGGTAACTAACACTGGCCATACGACCTAAGACAGAGAGTCAGGGCAAAGGTAACACTGGCAGCACAACCTACGATTAAGAGTCAGTACTAAAGTTTATAAGGACTGGTGGCACAAGACTGAAATTCCAGCTACTTTGTAAACTGAGGCAAAAGGATCCGAAGTTCAAGGCTAGCATAAACAACTAGTTGAGACTGTCTCAAAGTAACCATAATAAAACAGGGTGTGTATACAGCTGAGGAGTTCAGCACTTGCTTAATATGCACGGTCTCAAGTCCAGTATCCACCACCAACCCACCAACTCTCCTCAGCTCTGGCATGTCAGTTCTTCTAGCTTATGTCATATTTGCTTCAGAGAGGTCTTCTCAAATGTTTAAGGTGTAGTATGGTACTCAGACACATTCACGAAGCAATAAGCTATTCTCAAGAGGCAACAATGATTTCTAATTACATGGACGACAACCATAAACTCTTCAGTTGCTGTCTGCTAAGTACTACGACATATGCATCTCTCTTGTTGGTGGTTTATGGCTGATCAAGTCAAGCCTCACCAGAGCCATGAGTAAGAGCAACTAGTATTCTTCTCCTTTTATTGATGAGCTCAATTAATCTATTCAGCTAGCTAGTATGTAGCTCATTATCTTTATGTTACACAAAAATACAGAATATAAGAGTGGGAAGCATTTCCATGTGAATGGAAGGAAAAAACTCAGTTCTCATTTGACAAGTAGTTTTAAGAGCTATTTATATATTATTATGCTTCACATTCTTGAAAGTTGCAAGAAAGAGTAATGTCAAAAACTGAGCATGAAGGAACAGAGTCTCTAATGAACAACCTCTGAAGCTGCCCCTCAAAAGCTGCTAGTTCTGCCAAGAAGAAGAGCTCCCATTAATAATTATCAGGTTTTTAGGGTGGCATGGGCCTATTCCCATGGCAACACACACACACACACACACACACACACACACACACACACGTTTCTGCCCTGTATCATCACTCACAGGACAGTCTCAACTGCCATTCAATAGAGGCAAGGATGGCCATCGGATAAATGGGACTCGGATCCAGGGGTCTCAGTAGGTAAAGCCCTCTATGGAAATGCGAGTTTTCACTCACCTTCCTTGAGTCAATTTCACAACTTTCTTTCACAGCTCACACTGTTTATTCATCTATTTATATTTTTGGAAGGGTTTTTTCCTGTTTCTCCTTGCCTGGCACTCTGTGCCAAATCTTAACAACCAGATCCATCTTCCATCAGATTCCAAAGGAGAGAGAATTCTGGAGTGAACCAACTTTAGGGTCTGAACAGATAATTCTAGTTCTCCATTAGAGTCACTTGGTCATTCCATAACCCTGAGAATCAGTGTAGTCATGGGCTAACTCTCCTTCCCTGCATGGACTTAAGGCCTTCTGAGAGCAAAGAGTAGGGTGGGCAGTCCCTACCACGTCTAAACAAGGTAGACACATACATACTCTTAGCACTACACTGGGATGTAAGACCACAGAGTGACTACAACAGCAGGGTTATTGTCTAGAGTCTGGAGGTGAGAAAGAACAAATACTTCCTGGAGCTAGTTTGCTTTCCTTTATAAATAGTAGAGGGCACAGAAAGGATTCCTGGCAGGGTGCTCTTTCAGGGAGGGAAGGAGGTTTAAGCCATTTCCTTCCACCTTAGTAATTCCTTACTTCCTGTTTTCTCCACAGAGATATAAATGAACCTTGAAGCTACCTTAAGAGCAAAACTGATATGCTGGACATAACAATAGCCTCTAGAAAATACCTCAGCCTATATAACCACACACACATACAGAAAGAAACACACACACACACACACACACACACACACACCCCTACCTGCTAGGTCTTGATGGTCTCGGTTCCTGAGTTATAATGTCTTCAAAGCAAAGACATTTACTTCAGTGGTCACTTCCAGCTATAGAACACAAGCTAGGTATGGCAGAGCAGAGGACTTCTCATCATGCAAGGTGAATTTTAAGTGCCTGATGATCTGGTCAAGTGAAGAGGAAGCCAGAAAAGACACTAACTGACCTCAGGAAAAATGAGCAACCAACTTTTGCTTTAATCATAGATATTCTATTCTATACAATCTTGTTTCTCTCTCTCTCTCTCTCTCTCTCTCTCTCTCTCTCTCTCTCTCTCACACACACACACACACACACACACACACACACACACCCTCTACTGAGCAAAGTATGAGAGACACGGCTAGAGGACAAAATATCTGTGGCAAACCTGAGCTACATAGTGAGACCCTGTCTCAAAAGAGAAAAGCACATCTCTACTGACTATACATATATAAAGCCAAATTCTTGTCTCTGGATTCTTCCCTACCTATTAAATGCTGAGCTCATCTAGAAGTTCTTAAAAGTCAGAGGAGACAACAAGGGACCTACCTCATTAGCCTGTAAGAACTAAATGTAAAATCTCCAAAGCTATACACTCTTCCAGGGCTAGAAAGATAGTTTAGGGGTTGTGAGCACTGCCTGTCAAGAGTCCCAGCACCAACATGGCAGCTCATAACCATCTTTATTTCCAGTTCTGACACCCTCTTCTAGCCTCCACAGGTAACACACAAACATGGTTCACATATATTCAAGGCAAAGACACCCACACCCCCCTCACACACACACAATTTTTTGAAGGAACTTCAACTAAACAGGACACTTGCCAAACTGTACAGTCAGTCCTCTGATAAAACCCAGAACCTTCATCATATGATACTGATATGTCTATCAAGGCATGAGCATCAGAGAATGCTTTCTTCTGAGGTAAACCTGACTTCCTATCTTCTGGCTACTCAATCTGAGCCACTCCTCCTCCTGAGTCTAGCTGAGCCTCCACTACCTATGGTTTATGGAGCCCTCATCTAAAGACTCTTCCTTTCCTGTTTGACCCCTGGGCTTTGCCTCTATTTGTCTGGCCCGTTAGACTATGGCTCCTCACTTTCCACATTTATGTAAGTATGCCCCAAATCAGTGGGTACGAGTTCGTCCATGTCTCATTTGTTTGAATCAAAGTAAAGTTCCCCATTTACAAATAATACTTAAAAAACAGGCTGGCTCTGTACTCAGTCTACAAAACTCTTGTCTCAAAAAGCAATACATAAGACACACGTAGAGGTGCACGTCTTTAATCCCACACTCAGGAGGCAGAGGCAGGCAGATCTCTGAATTCGCAGCTAGCCTGGTCTACAGAGCAAGACTACACAGAAAAACACTGTCTCAAAACAAAAAAAAAAAAATTCTTTTTGTTATTATCACTTAACAAAGGCTATGGAAGAGAAGAAAAAAGGAAAGGAAAAGAAAAATAAAGGAAAGAAAACAAAAACGAAGTTCATTCTAAACAATTCAATATGGGATTAAAGGCTTAACTCTCACAGTAAATCTTACCTTCTTCACTTAGTTCAAGCTGTTCTGGAATTAGTATTTGCAAAACCAACAGAAACAAAACAAAATACCTAAATTTTGTTTGTGTTTGTGTGTACTTTTCTTCTAAGAGACTGACTAATGGAGTAAGGCAACAAAAATAAAGGCAAAATCAGTAACCAGCAGGCCATTGAGCCTAACGATATCTATGATTGAAAACAGCAGGCACTGGAAAAGACCCAAGTCTCTGGAAAGATTTACCTCAGTCAGAGGGAACCTACTCCTGGCAGCAGCAAGGCAGAAAACTGGCTATCTTCCCTAATTTTTTTTTTTTTTTTTTGGTCACAGAGGCATGGAAGGGTTGCAACCATAGGCAAGTTCTGACCTTGGTTATGACCTTTGGCATAACGTCACCATTTAAGTGCAAGCCCAATGACATTATGCTAGCTCTCTCTCTCCAAATTCTGATTATATAGAGGACAAACCTCCACTCTTTGGTCCCAATCTCATGTGGCCTTGAGATCGAGTCAGTTAAGAGTGTCACGCATAGGTTCTGCGTTCACACTTTTTCCTGCCAAGATGATGCTACAGTAAAGGACAGTCTATATTTTTAATAGAACTTTGAAACAACCTTCATGAGAAGTTATAATCTGCAGTGATTTCAGAACAAGGCGCTGGAATGGAATGGTTTTATTTCTCATGAACTGAGTCCCAATCAACAACAGTCTGATTGCTCTATGGCCAGACACCTGTCACGAGGGTATGGGAAGAATACTTTCGGATATCTAGCCTATTGGGCCAAGCCTACAGGTGCTAATTCCCCTTCTCAAGAAGAACAGAATCAAGTTCTACGACAAGGCAGAAGGCTACCCGAAGCCTCTGAAATGTATCTAATTCATTCTGTTGGGCTATATCCCGATTGTGTTAAGGGTCATTAACTAACTCCCCCTTTTCAGGTTCACTCAGCAAAAACATGTGCACACAGAACTCCCCTTCTGTAAAAGACCCTGAAACTTCACTAATAAAGTAACTTGAACATTCTAGTCCCTCAAACATTTATCTACTATCCCCTGTTGAGCTAGTGAGAAAGACTAAGGACTAACATGCTAGTAACTAGGACAGGGCTGCAGACAGACTGCAGATGTCTGTTTCTCCAGGGTTTAGAGTAAAGGTGCAGAAAACCCAAACTGGTTGACTGTAGAGTAAACTGGGACATTAACTAACACAGGAAGCTTTGGAATCTGAATATGCAAGAACCTTTTAAGGCTCACTGAATCCTAACAGCCTCACGAGTGTGGTTTGTGTTTTTCCCAGGATCCCATACACCAAATAGAGAGCATGCCCAAGTCAGTAGGAGCTTTACCTCACTAGAACATGAACAATTAAGACTGTCCACTCTATAACCAAAGACGGCTATTAGGAATAGATCATAAAAGAAAACAAATTCTCTGACACTGACTACCTGAGAGTGTGGAGGTGGCAGGTGTCTTCCATTCTCTATCCTTAGTCTCCTAGGTTTCTGAGTCACTGAAAAGCTTGGGGGATCGGGTGGAGGGAAAGTGTGTGTGTGTGTGTGTGTGTGTGTGTGTGTGTGTTGTGTAAACAGAGATGGGTATAGTGGTACACACTGTAATCTCTGCTCTTGGAAACTTGAGGCAGGAGGATTGTTATGGCCTCTAAGCCAGCCTGGGCTAAAATAGAAGACCCTGTCTCACAAAACAAAAACAGAAAAATGGGAGGTGGTGGTGCATGCCTTTAGTCTCAGTACTCTGGAGGCAGAGGTAGGTGGAGCTCTGAGTTGAAGGACAATGTGGTCTACAGAGTGAGTTCCAGGACAGCCAGGGCTACACAGAGAAACCCTGTCTCAAAACAAACAAACAAACCTCCCACCACCTTCCTGCTTCTTTTGCTACAGTGGGATTTACTGTCACACAAGAACTACAATTTGTTAGCTGCTGGTTTTTTTTTTTTTCTTTTCTCTGTAACACCTTTGTTTTCTCCACTTAGATAAAGGTAGGTGAGGCCCCAGTCTTGTATTATATGGACATTGTCATCACCTTTCAGTCTTCCTGAGCTCTGGGTATGAAAAGGTAAACTTTTTACTTCACACAGCCTAAAAGACTGGACAGTACTAGAAAAAAATTAAGAGTTCAAACCAATCCCTATCTGTGTGACCTTTTATCATTTTGTCAAAGCTCCCATTCAAAACATAAAAAAATAAACAAATCTACAAGATTAAATAACGAGGGAGGAAAAGGCTGACAGATGGGAAAAAGAAAAGTCTGGTTATAAAGGTTACTTTCTGAAAGATGCTTATCACAGTAATTCTAGACTAGGTTCTAAAACAAGTCTCCCTGAAGAAATCACTATCAATTGTTTTGCTTGCCTCACAGCACAGGACCACGGCCTCACAAAACCACCCCAGTCCTGCAGCCATCTGCACAGGGGCTTACTGCTGTAGAAGACTGAGGTGGTGATGCCTGCATGCTGGGAATGCAGAGCATGGCAGAACTCTGTAAGGACAAGAGGAGGCTGGACTATCTTTTGAAGGCAAGACCCTGTTCTTGACCAGAGGAACAGGGAAAGAAAATCCTGTCTTCATTTTTACTGATGTTTAGAGATGCAATTCTGTTCACAGATTCCTAAGAGGGAAACAAAGCCCTAGTCTCTTACCAGCAGTGAGAGGCGTGTGCACTGATCTGCAAAAGGCTCTGCTGTGGCTGTCAAGTTAAATAAGAGGCTCTTCTGGAAGCCCCGCCAACCGCTGGCATCATACTTTCCTGGAGATGTCAGTACAGATTTGGGGCTCTATCCCTAGGTATTAGCTTGGCTCAGATGCACCACCACCTATGGAACTACATGTGCTCTGGGTGGAAAACAGGGCATACGTTTTCAAGCCAAGGTAAGCCAAAACCTGCTGGGTCAGTCACAGTGAGAAGTGAGCTTCTCTGGCTTACGGTATATACACAAAACTCACAGACATACAGTTTTCACTGCAAGCTAACAATTTCTCTGCCCAGAAGAGCAGGGTAGATGTATCAGATGCTCCATTCCCAAGGAGATGACAAAACACCAGCATGTACCATCACCCCCCAAACAAAAGGAAAGCATGAAATAAAAAGTAAAACTGGCAGAGGCCACTGGATTCGAGTCTTGCCACTTTGAAATGGCAGCTCAGATTTTCCAAAGATTCGTCATTAGGACCTAAATTTAGAGCTCCTTCCATGGTCTCATATAAGTGGCAGATTCATCTCGGGGCCAGCATCGAAGTCTGGCACTTCCATTGCTAGTAACTTGTCTCAATAGAACCATCAACTAGGATCTTCCCTACAAAATATACAGGCATCTCAGAAAGGAAGCTACATTATTACAGTTCAATAACACCACCCAGAATCAGCATGTCTACCTCACTAATCAAAACTCTCCTCCAGAAAACATTAATCACAGAATTCACCAAGAGACAAGCCCATACTTCTTTCTTCAAAATTGTTTTCCCACTTAGTGGTGCTTACCAGCCTCTCCCCAGAGAGGACCTCCAGCAGCTTGATGAGCATCCGTCCATCTCGAAGGTCGGTATACAGGTCTGTGATTCGGCAGGACACTCGGGCAAGGTGGGAGTTGACCCACTTGGTGAATGTCTTCTTCTGTACGGCTTCACGCTCATCTGTAAGAAGAGGAGAACTTACTTTACCACCAACCCAGCACTGGCAACAGCAGGTCCAGGCCAGCAAAGCCCCACAGCCCACACAGCAAGAGTGCGTCAGCAAAACTAAACTTCAACAAAACCCCCACTTAGCTCTCTACTGTCTGGGAATACTGGGATTTGGACAACCCTTGCACAAGTCAACACCCAGGCTTGCAGCCAGCAGAATCCAGATGGTGGTGTGGGCCTCAATCAATTTGACTACAGAGCTTCTGGTAAGGTATCCACCTACCGTCCCCGAAAAAGGTGTGTGAAGTGAACCACACTGCACACAAAAGGGTCCAGGCATAGAGACAGCAGGAAACTGCTTCCCTTAGATACAAAAGCTGAGGTAACAGATGGCAAAGGTAAGTTTACTTATGACAGTGAATTAATGCCAGGGGTTTTCAGAGATTCAGGCACATGTACAGTGGACAACAGAGAAAACAGGCAACAGAGTAGTGAAAATATCTGTCCAGTCAATTTAGGAGACCCTCAGAGCCCTCTGTTTCAACAATAGAGTCTGCCTTTAGTGTCCTCATCCACAAATTAAGCACACAATGATCATCTCCAAACTTGTAAGTCCTCACTGAAGAGGTACCTGCGAATATACAACTCAGAGTACACGCACTGAAAATTCAAGTCATCCAGAAAACAGTATTAAACATTTCAAGTCTTAGTGATCCAGGTTTTGTCCAACTCAAATCTTAAAACTCCCTACACTGAATCACACACAAATAGACTACCAAACTTGTTTCTGGAAGATGCTCTGAATGAGGTCACTGAACACTTCCAAGAGGCATTTCGAGTATGCCCTAGAGCCACCCCATTTCCTGACTGTTGGATACAGAACTGACTGTCAGTTACACACTCTCCTATTGTCTTATTTCAGCTCCCAAAAGCTGCACTTCCAGACCTGAGGGTCCCTGCCCTGAGCTGGCTTTGATTGGTAACAAAGCATTGCTTTGCAGCTAATGGCAGGGCAGGGAGATAGGGTGGGACTTTTATATTTCACAGACAGGGGACCAAGGGAGGGAGAGGGAGAATCACCGTGCAGGGAGAACAGACTTAAAGGCCTTCTGCTATGTAAGAATCTGGGAACATGGCCTTCCCCCATTGTGTCTGGGGTAGCAGAGATGAAAAATAGATTTTAAAAGATGTTAACTCAGGAATACCAGAGGAGTGTGTGCTAGCCATGGGGGAACTTTAGAAGCACCCAGCCATTGAACTAGTCAAGGCATATCAAAATTAGCTGGTGTGTGTGTGTGTCTTTTATTTGTGAATCCAGAGAGCTCTTGGGCGGGTGTAGTGCGTGACCAGCCAGGAGCCAAAGGAGTTTAACTAAGTCACTGCTACAGATGGCGCCCAATATGGGGCTTGAATCCACCACCTGAGATTAAGAGTGTCATGCTTTACCGACTGAGCCAGCTGGGCCCCTTTGAGCAGAAGCCCTACTCCTAGTACAAACTTTCCTTGTGGATGTTTACAACATACAACTCAATGGAATAAGCAGAGAACCCAACAACTGCTGTATTGAAAAAGAAAATATCAGATAGTAGGTAAAACTCACTCCTACTGATGGCTAGATGGTCAGTGGGTACTGGGTTCCTAGATTGGTCAGGGGGACAGTAAATAGTCTAGTATCTGGAAGGCTGTCCTGAAGCCTCCATTCAACCTAGCATTGTAAGGCAGTGAGGCAGAGACCATGCTGGGCAAGCTTTTACTGTTGTACTTCAAGCCAAGCACCTCCTGCTGCAGTCAGCAGTTCCTAGAGGTCCAGTCTTTCCCTAAAGCCTATCCATCCAAAAGAGGGCTTTTCTTCAGGGATAAGGACTAATCAGAAACAAAGGACCAGAAAGGCTGGGGCTGAGGGAAGGAAGAAAAGGCAGTCAAGGGTATACTGTGGAGGGCATAGTAAAAGGAGCTACGCCAGTAACAACACAACAGGATGGGGCCACATGCATTATTAATCTCACAATCATCATTATGGATGGTAACTTTACCACTACAGTGGCAAGTGTAGTCTTTGTTGTTGTTTGCTTAAAGTTTGGCTGTTTTGAAAGACTAGACTAGACCATGTCAAGAGAACATTAAGCCAAGGATATTTCCTAGACTGTATCTACACGACTAATAATTCCTAACTCAAATATATTTAGGTCTGACTAATTTCTTTAAAATTAGGTTTCTTGTTTATGCTGCAGGGAGTGAAAAGGGTCTTTATGCTGATATCCTAGGTTACTAATGAAGGGTTTGGGGTTCAAAGTCACTACCACACCCAATCTATGGAGAGAAGATGATCAAAATCTGCTTAGGTTAAAATATTTCTCAATAAATTAAGTATAAAGTATGTTCCACAGCCACCACCGTCCCTTCGGGGTAACTCCCACATTAAAGAAACCCTGGTGGCTTCTTTTAAGTTCAGAATTAGCAGAAGCCCTGCCCCGGAGTTACAGCTCAATCCCACCCCCACCCCCACCCCCACCCCCTATCCTCCATGAAGAGGCAGAGGCCAAGGCTGGGAGCAGAGAAAACTGAGCTTAAATAACCACACACAAATCTGTGTGAGAGGCTCCCCAGAACTGCAGAAATGGGGAGAGAAAGGAATTAAAAAATAAAGGAATGAGAGGTTTAACTCTTCCTGTCTGTGCCTTTCCTCCAGTTTCAAGTTGAGGAAGAGTACTATAAAAAAAAAAAAGCCAATAAGAAGGCTCCCACTACACTGAGAAAGGCGGAAAGAGTCTGTCCCGGGAGTGGACATGAACAACATCCTACACAGAGGAAGGCAGAGACACGCCCAGGCCAGCTGATGTGTCATGCTACCATGGAGTGTGTATGGAACAACACACATTTCTGAAGCAGGAAAGGGGGTGGGGTGGATCCCACCTCTTGGCCCAGTTGAGAAGGAGAGAAGCGTCCCCAGAGACCCAGTCCTTTGTTCCACCCTTCCTGGGAAGGCAAATGACATCATGCCTGTACTCTCTCTACCCCCATCCCAGAGAGGCTAGAGGAGATAAGCCAGACGCCTGCCGAGGAACAGAAGGTCTTTGGCAGGGACAATGGAAGACAATCCAGAGGGTTTCTAAGCTCAAGCTGCTGTAGCTGGCCAAGCCACAGGGGAAGGCAGTGGGAGGAAAGGCAGCAGCACCGCCCAGGCCTGTGAACGTGAGGTGACCACAGCGAGATGAGTAAGGGGGCCCTTCACACACCACACTGACCTGGTTATTTAGACCAGTGGTTGACTATGGTCCCTGGACAACATTAAGCAGTGCTTATAGACATTTTTGATAGTGGTGACTGAAGGCCAGGAGGCCAGGTACACTGCTAAACACTCTGCACAGGGCAGCCTCTATAACAAAGAATCATCCAGGCCAAAGTGTTCATTATGGCACAGCTGAGCAATCCAGCTTCAAGGTTCTGGGGTTTTATCAATTACAGCAGGAACTCGAGTTTATCAGACTGTATGCGCTGGAGAGGAACACCTGAATTTAGGGTGGTGTTTGCGCATCTCTCTCTGTGTACATCAAAGCCTATTTGGTAAGTTTGACAGCAGAAAGGATTGCCTGCAGGCAAGCTCGTTCTACAAGAAGCTGGAGATGGAGCGAAGAAGCAGGTGCAATCCTATATGACTCAGTATGTTGGCGGGCATTTGGCTTCTCCTGCCACTTCCACTTTCCCCATAACCTTGAAGGGCCTTGTATGGTTGTTACCAAGTCAAAATATACAGATATATAAGAACTTGCCTAAAGCCTATCTAGTATCAAACAGGATAGTAAAGTACTCACTGTCGTATCCAGACTATTTTAACTGCTCATTAAATTCGTTCCTGCTGTAGCCCCACCACCACCTCCAAAGAAGCATTCTTAATTCAAATCACTTAAGAAGTTTATCAGGGATGGTAGGATCATATAATCTAAGGTTGAACAATCCTTTAGAAGCCATCTAATTATTGAGTGAAATAATCTCTTCTTCAACACTTGAGAAGTCACTTAAAAATTCTAAGCTGAGCCTGTTGGTACAAGCACAGGACCACACAGTGGGTTGGTTCTAGGCCATCCTGAATTACTGTATTAAAAGCTTGACTCAAAATAAAATGTAGAAGGAGGGCTGGGGTACCTGAGTGGTACAGTGCTTGCCTAGCATGTGCAAGGTTCACGGCCCAATCAAAAATATCCTCTAACCTACAAAGATAAATGAGTAAAATCCCAGGCAGGGCTTGTAAAACCACATGTAAACATAGGTGCTAGGAGCTTATACAACAGATTACAGAAGATAATGCCATTTCTAGCTTTTAATACAACCAATAGCAGGCACTTACTTAGCAGTGAATATAGTCCAGGTCCAGATCTGAGTACCTACAATTCTCACAAGCGCACCATGAGGTAGGAACTGACTCAAGCAGGCTGGCTCCAGAACCAGGCCTCTCAATGACTGAGCAACAGTATCTCATGTACAAACTGGAGAGGAGGGAAGACAATACATTCCCATTACACCAGGCAGAATCACTGTCACTTTACTGTCCTAGCCCAAGTCTTCTGAGGATACTTCATCTCTGACACTGAAGACTATACCTGCCTCTGTAGCCCACCGCCTAAGAGAGCAGGTTTCTTCTTCCTTCATATCAAAACCTCCTGGATTTAAACACTCTTCGGTATCAGCTTCCACAATGAGTGTTTTTTCAACAGCCAACACATCCACAGACAGTGATGGTGGGAAGTTAAAAGTAAAGGAAATTCAGGAAGAACACCCATGGTTGGGGGCGGGAGGGGGGAGCAGAGCTGGAAGAAGGGCCAAAACCCAGTGTATAAGCCTCTCATAAGCATACACACTCCAGCAAAACTGTCTCTGCAGCCGAGTGCAAAGACCCAGCCAGGTAGGCTGTTAGCTCTACAATCCCAAAAGATGAACTAGGTAGCTGCTGGTCAGTCAGAAGTACCAAGCAGACAGAGAACTCATCAAGAGGCCACTGAAGGAATGAATGCAAC